GACCATCGTCCATGATATCCGATGTCGTTAGACAGTCGGCTTATTGCATCTTCTTTAATTCGGGAAAGGCGTCCAGAACGAGCTAATTTAATGATTCTGAGCCCTATCCCACTTGGTTCTGATAACGATATGGTCGGGAATCCTTTCCCAGGAGCTTGCATTCATTGGCTGCTTCGTTTTCCCCCACTTTGATGACAGTCATCAATAAGATCATTCACACTTGTCTGATGATATGCCTGATCACTTGAAATCTGCTGACAAATTATTGACTGATTTGATCAATATGAAGTTTTTCTTTCTTGATTCGTCCTTCTGGGCTGGGATATGAGAACAAGGTCCGCAAAAACCTCCTATTCTGCTCCTGGACCTATCGATCCTAGGTTGAATAGTTTAGGCCAGCATAGAATTGATTGTGAAAAGTTTAGGCTAAGGTTTTCCCAGTCATCAGTAAGAAACTGCTGCTATGTACGGGAGCCCCCCCCCCATATCTCCTTCTGAACCGCTCTGTCCTCCTCCAGTTCCATTTTAAGTCGTTTTGACTGCTTTTATGTTCTTCCTAGTACTGATCCTTCCGGAATTCTCCTACTGAATTTGTTCCTTTTTGGAACTGTCCTTTTCTCAGCCTCCCCCTACTCTCTTCGGTTTTGCCATGGTCCTCTTCCCTTCCCCTCCCCCCCCCCGCACGTCCTGCCGTAGCGGAGAAATTTCGCAAAATAATACCCCTCGCTCGGGAATTTACTCCTTTGGTACGACATTTTCCCTTTCTCCATCAACTTTTCCAGAGTTTTTTTTCTCGAAGTCCTCCAGTAATCCCCAAAAATATGCAGTACGGGAGGAGAGTGCGGGAGAGAGGGGGGGGGGTGGCAGGAAAGTGGAATATATAGCTCTTGTGAAACCAGAAACACCGCGAAATGTCATCAACCGAAAACATTTCAGGCAAATACGACCCTCCTCCTACCAGCGACCAAATAGGACTCCGCTGGGGATTCCTCTGTCATCTGGCCTTTCTCAGTTCATTCTTTCGACACAACGAAATAATTTTCACCCCATTCTTCCCGGCCTTCTTGCTCATTTCCTCATCTAACGCCTCCACCATCCCAGTTCATGCTTTTCCCGTCCTTCCCCAGATGAGATCTCCTGTCTCGTCAAGCTCATTCCAACGACATCGGTTGTGCGATTCTCGCCATAGCTGGTTTTTTCGTGGCATCATCATCATCACTTCCTCTAAACTGCCATCCCATTTCGTCGTCACCCCTATCCTGCACACCGCCGCCGCCGCCGTAGCGGTTGCCGCGCTTTTCCCACCGCCATTTGTCACCGGCTCGTGGTCGTGTGTTGATAGCGAGCGTGTCCCTTTGATGCTAGCCGCCATTACAACCAGCCGCGAGAGAGGGGCTCTGTCCTCACCTCTATCGCTCGCGTGCTGTACCTCCTCATGAATCGCCCCAAAGCGTTCGACTCAACCTATTCATCTGGCGCCCTTCTTGGTCCAGCTACTCTTTTCCAAGGACTTTTTGGTCGGGATTCTCTCTACAGCGCTTTTTCTGACTTATATGAGTGGGGGGGTTGAATACCTAGAGCTCTCCAGCCCAAAAGTCAATCCATGGAATTCTATGAAACGAAGTCCCAGCGTATTAGGCCACTTACCATCTCGGTAATGAACTGGCTGAGCCCTTCAACCCTTCCATGGGACTATGGGGAAGCTCTACCCCTCCACACAGACTTTCCTATCTGTCTATACCTACAGTGCTACCGTTTCCTCCTTGGCCTCTAATATTTGCATTCTTTTCATTGTTTTATCGTCTTTATGTTGTTCACAGCGTGTCTGAATCTCAGCAATCGCAGACCTATCATAGGGGCTACAGTAGCCGCCAGCGGTGACGCGTGTGTGCTGATAAGACGGGTCATGAGAACGACGATGTAAGATGGCGACCGGCGACAGCACCATCACAGCGCGGATCATCGGCGCCACATCGCTAGTAGCGCGGCGACTGGCGGCGGCCGACGGCGGTCTGTCAAAGTCATCAGTTGATGTTTTCTGAGCGTGCGCGCTTGCGTACCCGTAATCATTTGCTCGTCGTCGTATACGCAAGAAAATCGAATCGTTTGCGATTTTTGCGATCGTATCTTAATGGTGTCATTAAGATACGAATCTTCACTGCATTCAATGTTGCGTTCTCATCCGCTCGTCGCTGCACCACCACCGCCGCCTCCGCCTCTCCCGGTTACGGTAGGCAAAGGGTAGACCTTATGCGGATTTTACTGGTACCGTTGAGACCTCCCAGCCCTGCTCCCTTCAAACTCCTACCAGCTCGGTCTACTCGGTCCTCATCGACCGTTTCTGCGAAAGTCCCGGAAATTTACGGAACTTCCACTTCTGGAAAAAGACTCAAAGTGAGCAGGATCGTTCGGTCACTATTATGATGGCGCAAAACACTATTGTAAGGACTTGTATGGGAGCTCGAAACTGACCGATGATCTGGAACCCGACCACGATTGCTTAGGAACTCCTTAAGAGACTGTTAGTGGTATCGCACTTGTCGTTGTAATGTCTCATTGTGCATGAGAGGTGGAAGGAATAGACCCTCCAGTTCTTCCTTAAAGCTACAGGTTCTTCCACCCATGTATTGAGTGGCAAGGTTAGTAAAAAGATTTCCTCATCGCGAAATGTGCCCCAATAATTCTCCACGTGAAAATTTGGGGATCTTTGATAATCCTCCCACCCTCCAAATTGTGGGATTCCCTTCATTGCCACCATAACATTTACGGCAGTGCGAACCACCAGGAATACCACTGTGAGCCCACTACTCTGCTCTGATAAGTCGAGACCGTCCCAGCATGGCACGATTCCGCCAGACCCTCACTCACTGCTGCCTCAATTACGACCCCTCTTCAACCTCCTAGCGCCACCTGTCCCCACTCCCAGCTTTCCTGATTTTCTCCTCTTTTCGGAAAACGGCCGTGGTCGAGCTCTTATTAACTCCCGCTATAGCAAATCTCAAATTTTTCAAAATTCTCCCGTCCTTTGTCTTAGGCTTATTACAACCCGACTCCCATGTAGCTTATTACTAACCCCGCACCGAAACGACAGAAGGTAGCGACCTACACTGAGTCACACCTAGCCAAGCGCCGTATTCAAAGCCAATTAGGTGCCAACCTGAAACCGAATCATCTCAGCGGCATTATTGAAGCTGCACTACCTAAGCAGTAATATTCAAGACACACTGAGAATGATAGAAGTAGTAGAGCGGAATTACTGGCTTTCTGTTGTTAATCTTTAAATTCTGCTATCACCAGAAACGCGCTGTACTTCTTGGCATCCTATCGGGTAGTATTCCTGGACTGCGATGTGCGGAGACTTTGGCCCCCCTTCTCGACTACTGCAGACGAAATAGCGCGCATCAGCAAAACTTTCCTTAACGCAAACTTGTCGGTCTTGCTTACTGATCAAATTTCATTTTTGATTGGTTTTATCTTCGTTGTTCTCTTTTTTGCTCGTTTGCGTGTCCTGTTTTTTTTTCTCTTCTTTACCCTTCCGGCTCTACTTAACCTCAAAAGCCCATTTCTTACAGCTTACCCATAATGCAAGAATGCACCTCTCGCCCACGACTATTCTTTTTGCATCTTACTTCTATCCGAGTTCCTAGTTGCCGTGTATGTTTTCTATAACTGATTCTATGAAATGTGAGCACGAAGTGATTAACCCCATCTGGGTTCCCTAAAAAACCCGGACAAAGCAATAGAAGTGCTTTCAATTCCTCAACATCAATTTTCAGATGAAGAAGCCGATGATGGAGAAGCTTCGGCGAAAATTAATGACTCACTGCTCTATCTCAAAGAGTTTCTTCTCAACGTATCACCACAACAGAGGTACCAATCAATCGATATATCGATCCACGTCGTGGCCAACCGTTTATTGAAAGTTTTTCTTTTCATCTTCTAAACTATGAAAACGGCAGTATACTAGAATGACGTGATTATATCTTTAAGAGCTCACGAGGAATGCTGACGGCGCTGGAGTGAGTGTCTCACATACTAGATCGCTATCGATCAAGGTTTGTCCATTGAACAATGTCTATTGAACAGCTCTTCTAATTGAACGTTTTCAGACCAAGCTGCAGTTTACCGAAGTGGACGGGAGGAAGGTTTTGCACGAGGATTCGCCCATGCTTCCCAGGCCGTGTTTAATTACTTGCAAATGGCCATGCCGCATGATTTCAACCCACAAGCACAGCAATTTCATCTCGGACTTGTGCATCATTTGAAGTGAGTTGGTCCCTTGGCGAATTCTTGTCCTGTAAGAAACAGAGAAGTAGAGTGAGGTAGCAGAGACGCAGAGTCATCCTGCGAAACTCTTCGGATTTCATGACCTCCTCTACCAGCCCATGTTTTGTGCGTTCAAGTCTCTCAATTCTATATTTTTCAGTGCTGTGATGCCTTCCCGAACGGGAACCGCTTGCCAACCAATTCCCGATCCTCCAAAATGGTCACCAGGGACGCCGCCTGCTTCAGACATTTCTTCAAGTGAATCACCGGAACCAACTGGCTCACCAAGCCAAACCACTCGACCGAAAGAGGCGCGTGGAGAGCGTAGACCTCATCTTACTCGAGAGGATGATTCGTGTCAGGAACCACCATCAAAGAAAGTCTGGCAACCATGGCAATGAAGCGTTAAGACGTCCTCTTTTTTCCATACATTCATCTGGTTCTGTCATACGGTAACGGACGACCAAAGTCCGCGCATACACACGAATCGTTCCCCCTCCATCCGCCTTAGATCTCAATCATGACGACGTGTTTACAAAATCATCGTTCATTCTCTTGCTGTAGTTTATTTTTGTCTGTTTCTATGCGTCTCCATTTCTTACTGTCTCTCGCTTTGTTCCGGTACTTTTACTGTTGAGGTTTATTACGGTCGTTTTACTTTGTGTGTGTACAGAGTTGTGTTTATTGTTCTTCCTTTGCACTTACATCGAATTTTAAATTACTAATTAATTAAATATTTTTTAGTGTTTATTGTAGTTTGATATGGTGTTATATTCACTCCTCTCGGGGAGTTATGTAGATATAGATGTAATAAATCAAATTCTTCAAATTTCACTACGACGACGGGACGGTCTCGATGAGTCCGTGTACTTATCACGTTCTATGTTTGACTTTCCCACGACGAAATCGGTCCTAGTCGTGTGGGAACGAAGAACAGCCCTGGTGATAGCACTGATAGAGTAATTATGAACAGCTGGTTGAATACGACTATAAGAAAGGGGCTCATAGATTGCTGAAAAGCCTTAGGAGACCCTTTGGTGCAGTGCAGCTTGGGGGGGGGGGCATGCTGCTGGCTCCCGTCGATCATCGTCTATGCTTCCGATGGAAACTTGTCAATACTTGTAAAGCTATCAACAGCATGAGCTTATTTTGCACTTGCGCAGAGTTTACAGGTCTCAAAAAGGCTGTGCTTATATTAACAGGAACTAGAGAGAAAAAAAGCGAAAAGAAGTGTGCAAAATGCCTCTCCCGCCCTCTTTGGCCAAAGTGCTCTAGCCCTTCTAACCTTTGATAGAACGTGGCCAACAGCGTTCGCTTGTCTCCTGATCGGGTGGGGAAAAAAGATTCTGCTGGGAATCTCCACTATTTACTTGTAGCTTTCCGCGGAATATATCTAACTTGATTGCCAGAGCTTAAAATGATTTTTCTCGGATCTCCCAACCTCTACTGATGCGTCATGTTCACCCTAAAGAGAGATGGATACTTTAGGGAAGGCAGCAGGTGATCAGAACACGTCGTGCTATGGGGAGCCCCAGCGAGGGGGCCCTATCTGGTCGCTGGAAGGAGCGGGATTGTATTTGCTCTCATGAGAATCTTTTCGGTTGTTGACTTTCCACGCGTGGTAAC